TGGGGCTTCCGGCAGCGTTTTCGCGCGCTCCCCTTGCTTACCAAGGGCACGAAAACGCTGCGCCCCGCCATTTCGGCTGTTCCGGCGGCCATTTTGAACCCGCCGGACAGCTGATTGCAGCGTTTTCGCGCCCTCGTTCAGCGAGGGGAGGGCGCGAAAATGGCTGCCGGCTATACCGGAACATCGCACAACGGTGAGTATTCGGCCAAATTGGAACGCATTAAACCATGTTTAATGCGTTCCAATGGCTTTTTACTTTCCGTAGTGCGATGTTTCACACAGCGAGGGTTAATCCGGAATGGATTAACCTCGCTGTGCGAGGCACCACTGTACTAAGCTTTGCTTCCAGCAAAACATGCACTCCTCTAGCAGGGTTTTCCCACAGACCTGCTCATTCCAGCCTGGTTTCAAAACCTTTGCAAGATGCTCTTCTCACAAGGGAGCTGCCTTACCTCCAACTTGCTGTTATCCAGGCCTGACAAAGTCATTTCCTCCATTTTCATTTGCAAAAGCTATCGAAGAAGGTGCTGGGAATGCAACATAGCAGAGGCCAGGCTCAAATTGGAAGGGATCCCCCTGTGGGCAGAGAGACAGACAGATTCAGTAACTAGCAGGAAAACATCCAAGAGGAGACGATGAGCTCATTTGGTAGAAAGACAGAAAGGAGAGTAAATTTATATAACAAATTAATCAATATGAACATTAGGAGCCTTGTGGTGCAATGGTCAAACTGCTGTACTACAGTCAAAATTGTGCTCATGACTCGGGGTTCAATCCCAGGTAGCCAGCTCAAGGTTGACTCAGCCTTCCATCCTTCCAGCTTGCTGGGGGAGAAAACAATGGGTACCCTGCATAATTAACTTGTAAACCACCCAGAGAATGCTTTAAGTGCTATGGGGTGGCATATAAGCAGCATGCTTTGCTTTTTTTTGCTTTGCACTAGTTAGTTATGTGCCATCAAGCTAGAACCAACTTACAGCAACCCTAATAGGGCTCTCAAGGTCAATGAGATTTAAGGAGTGGTTTTACCAGTTCCACACTCCCAGCAAGCTTCCATGGGTGAACAGAGATTTGAACCCTCATCTCCAGAATCCTAGTCCATCACTCTAGCACACCACATTGGGTGCCTTAATATGCAAACACACAGTTTTCAGCAGGTGGTGGGTGCACACATTGCAGAAGACAGACACTACACCAAAAGACAGATGTATGTACGTATGTATGTATGTATGTATGTATGTATTCCCTTCCACGCAGAAAGAAAACCAGCACTTCCCTCCCTAGCTTTTGCAGGCATTTTTATTACAACATGTGATTTTTACTGCCTCACTGAAGGCACCTTTGAATCTAACTGAAATAGATCAATGCATTTATTTCCTAAGCCCAGACAAACTGCATGTTATACCCCTGGTATAATGCTTCAAATGATTTCATTGCAAAACAGATTGTAAAAGGTTCTGTGGAATGTGTCTGATTTTAGTTCCAGGGGCGTATGTTTTCTGGATACAGTTTGTGAGCTTGAAGTCCCACCTGCAGATAATCAAGGCTTGAAGTTCCTAAGCCAACTGCTAAGACCAGAACAAAATGAAGATGTTAGTCATATGCTTGCGTTTGTTAGCCACCTCCACAGGAAAGACCTTCCTGCAGATCCCAAGTGTCAGTCCAGGAATCATGACAAACATCATACAAAAAACAACAACCCAATGAGGTAGAGGACGTAGAAGAAATCTCTGTTGGTCATCATGGATCTCTGGAAATGCTGGTGACCTTGAGCAATCCCTTGATATCATTCCAGATTTCCATCCTCTACCGGGCAGGAGAGGAGACAGGTTAGCCACTCCCCTCAGCTAACATTTCTGCTGTCCTCTGTGTGGTGAATCTGAAGTCAGGAAGCCCCACTACCCTTGTAGAGACTCTATGGAAATGGGAAATCTGGGAAATCAAGATGCATCCACAGGTAGGGGGAAATAACAGAACTACAGTAGTGACAGAGGAAGGCAGGGCTCACCTACTCTCCCACCTCACATGTTAAGTGAGCATAGATTAGAATGCCCAAAGAGAGTCCTACTCTGACAGTATTGGTTGTTCTGGGTTTTTCGGGCTCTTTGGTCGTGCCCTTCAGAACATGGCCAAAAAGCCCAAAAAACCCAGAACAACCATTAGATCCCGGCCGTGAAAGCCTTCGCGAATATATCTGACAGTATTGCTTTTTTCCATCTGCTTTGTAAAATCCCATTACCCACCTATATAAAGCTTACCTCACCCCTGCTAAGCCAGGGCATCAAAGCCTGCCTCACCTGCAGAGCCCTTCAAACCATTCTTACATCTTCAAAGAGGACGTGAGGTATTTCATATCCACATTCCACTAAACCATTTCCAAGCAAGCATAATGTCTGGAGTATATATACATGTGTGTAATGCAAACATACACAACAGCATATGCCATTTCCATATTCTCCTCCACCCCTATGTAGCTCCTAGTATCCAGCTTGCCCCATGGGGCCTTCAAACCTTTTTCCATGGATTATCTTGTTGCAAGGATTACAAGAACCCTGTAAAATAAGTCAGTGTTATCATCTTTATTTGCAGCAGAGCACTGAGGTTGTGGGCGGGCGGGGGGGTAGGATATGACTCATCTAAAACAATCTGGGAAACTGAACAAGGGACTCTCCCATTTGTATCTCAGTCTTAGCTACTAGAGAAGAGCAACTTCCAATGCCAAGATCTGTCTTCTGGTACTGCAGTAACTTCAGCTTTCAAAGCTCAATTTTGCAAACAGCATATGCGTATGTATCTATCTATTCTGCCATTTCATGCATGCAGCAAAACTAGAGAGGCTTTACCCACAAGGTTAGGTCATTGGTTAAGGTTTTAACCTGCCACAAGACTCACTTTTGCTATACAACACATAAAGGCACCTGCCCAGATTTGAGCTTTCTGTCCAGTCTCCTTGTAAGACTTTATCACCGACTGTGCATTTTCAAACCTATGTTTACAGTTGCAAGTAGTAGAAATGTTTAACATGACATGAGAAACAGAGATGTCCAGCCTGTTGAATTCTCCATTTAGCATGAGATTCCATATTTGCTCGCGCCACTTCAAATTACACAATGGCTTTGCCTATCACAGAATTGGGAAATACACAGAAACCTGCCAACTATTCAAATGAGTTGAAAGAAAGAAAAAGCAGTAATCCATCTATCTATGCTTCTGAGGAAACAATGAGCAGATTGTGGCAAATGGCTCCTAGAAACCTCAACACAATATAAAAAAATAGAAACAAAAAACGAGTAGAACACTCACACAAGTTTCTAGTTCTTGTGCTTGAAAGCAGTAATGCCTACTGAAATCTTGGAAGCTGAAGACCTTTATAAATAAGATTTAGTCCTTTGAGATGGCAGTTCATGGTCAGCAAATCTTACATGATGAGCAAGACCAGAATAAATTGAACAAAGAAGGAAGAATTAGAAAAGAGTAAATAAATGCACAGTCCATGTTTTCTACCAGTTATGGAATCCATCATTTTCTTGATTCAAAAATGTACTGCTTCAGCACACAGCATTCATGCCAACATGAGTATCAAAGGCAGCATACCTCTGAAAATGAGTTGCTGAAATACATGAGCAAAAGCACCATTGCTATCTCAAGGGCCATGTCTCCTGTTATGAGTCTGCCCGGGTGCTAAGATCATCAGGGGAGTCTTTTCTCTCAGTACCGCCATCTTCACAGGTGTGCTGGTGGGACCATAGGAGAGGGCCTTCTCTGTTGCTGCTCCCAAACTTTGGAACTCCCTCCCACAGGAGGCCAAGGTGTCTCCATCTTTTCTGTCCTTCTGCATGCAGACAAATACCCTTCTTTTCAGGCAGGCTTTTCCGTAGTGAATGGCTGCCTGAGTGGGTTTTTTTAATGGATTATTGTGCCTTACTGCTTTGAAGCCATTTCTGGTGTTGCTTTTGTTTACCTTTTTTAGTGTAGTATTTGTTTGATCCTTTTTAGTAAATGTGTACTTAATGGGTCGGAGACCGCAAAATAAAATATCAATTGCTTGTAATTGTATACTTACTGCTTTTAGCTTTAAATTTGATCTTTCAAAGATGTAAACAACCTTGGGTCCTCTTTCAGGAAAAAGGGAAGGTAAAAATATTTTACATAAAATAAAACAAACAGAGAAATTAATTCAACTCCTGCTTATGTGCTCTCAAATGATATCTGGCCAGCTACTGTGGATATAGAATGCTGGACTATGGAGTTCTTTGGCCAGTCCAGCAAGAACTCTTATGTTCTCATGACAGATCAGCTGGTTAGAGCATATTACAAATAGGCAGCAGCTTTAGCAAAAAATGGGACAACAGGACAGGACATGAGCCAAACCTGGGAGGAGGGACATTAGACTATCTACAGTAACTCCTTCCTCCAAAAATAGCTGGCCTAAGCAGGAACAAAATCCACCCACCAAAACCTATTTACAACAGTTTTATTGGGATGCTACCCCCATGGTGCTATTGCCATAATCTGAGGCAGGGTGGATAAAAATCAGTGATTTAAAAAGATAATTCAAATTCAATTTTTTAAAAATTTAAATCATTTTTAATTCCAATTTTTAAGATTTCAACTAAAAAAGATAATTCAAATTCAATTTTTTTAAATTTTAAATCATTTTTTAATTCCAATTTTTAAGATTTCAACTGTGATTTAAATCAGTTTGAGTTAGATCAAATCCACTTGACCGGTGCAGTGTCCGGTGATCTTACAAAATAAAAGTGTGGGGGCAAAGTGAGTGGAAGCAAAGATACATTTCACAATTCACTCCAATGGGCTTGGATTTCACAAGAATCTGTAACAAAGACAATAAGCTAAATGATTGTGTCCAGTTGTTGCATTATAAGTGTGCACCTCCCTTCTGTGCATACAGTTGTGTATTTTCTGAGCTCACCCACAGAGGCATCCTGAATCTAGTTGTGCAATCAGTTCTTGCCTTTCATGATTGTGCAATGGTGCCCACGAACTTGCATAATCCCTCAAACCAATGTAACTCCCCAGGGGTGTGTATGTTTCTCCTGTCAGTGAGAAATTATATTTAAGCCACTGTCCATCTATTTAGCAATGCTGGCACTGAGTTAACAGATTGTTTGCAAAACACATGAATGCAAACACACTTCAAAGAACCACTAACAGATTACAGCAAGGCAATCTGCCAAATACAGGAAAATGAAAATAAGGAAGAAAGCAGTAATTTGAAACAGAAATATAGTCCATTTTGGGACCACTGCCTTTCCCCAATGTTGTATTCTTCCCATCCGCCACCAAAGTCCTCTGCTTGGTCTCTCAACCATACGTACTACTTTCTACAGAGCCTGCAAGCACAAAGAAGAGAAACAAGAGTTGTTCCAAAGGCTTCATTAAAGAAGAGACAGAGAGTGGTCCACAGAACTGAGACCAATAATCCATCCAGCCATCAAAGTGACTCTCATTTTAAATTGTACTGTGCTGGACCCAAGAAACCTGTAGATGGTTATTTTCAAGACCCAGAAGTAACTGCTGACTCACTCTCTCTTGCTGAGAATGGCCAAGCCCTCCAGGAAAGCTGCAGCCTGGGTCAGTGCAAACACATGCAGGGAAATAACAATGGGAGAAAAGAAGGGTGCTCAGAATCTCGTTTGGAAGAATGGGCTCTGGAAATACTGTCTTGGGTTAAATGGAAGTTCCAAGGCTTAACTTCAGTTCAATTACGGGCAAAGGAAAAAAGAAGCATCTACACATTACTGAGTTGCAAGTAACCAGTTGTCCACTTTTATAAAGAGACAAGGTGAAAAAAACTGTGTTGAGATAAGGTAGGCACATATATAGGATAGAAAATGCATTGAAGAAAATGCTCTGAAATGCCAAGCCTTGCCTTCTGTACTTTAAAGACCATCTAACAACAAAAAAGTTATATTCTTGCAGTATTTTGTTATAGCTCCTAACTTTTGTTTAAACCAGATGCTGTAAAATAAAGATTTAAATACAAGTTTTCCAGCTTTCCCCTTTCTAAGACAAGTCTAGATGCCAGCACATGCTCTCTCTAAGCTAAACAAGTTGACAACTACAGATGGGGAAATGAAGAGAGGCAAGAGGGCTGCTCCCATGTGGTTTTTAAAAAAATACATTTTATATTCCATATCTTCCCTGCACATCCTGTTCCAAGATGGATATCCCTTTGGAGCAGAGACCAGCGATTGCTGCCAACACAGAAAGAAAGCAACTTCTGGAGCACAATTAGTTGCTGTTTAATAGAGGGAGAAAGAAAAAAAGGCTGCTTACAAAGAACAGGCCAGCTTGTAAGGCCTCCCAGCGATTGGGGGCTCTCCCTATTGTTGTTGGGAGAAGGTTGCTTTTAACATCAGACACAGACATCATTAGCCTAACAAAGCGCAAAGAAAACCCAGACACTATGGGACCCTCCGATACATCCAATGACTTTCTACACTCAGCCATCTGGAAGTAGAATGATACCCTCACTCAGCCAATCCCCACTCCAAGTCAGCCTATCCCCAACTCAGCTGCCAAAAGAGGAGACCGTCTCAATGGGGACCTGAATGCAACAGCCTCCTTCTTAGGGGGTTGTCCTCCTCTCATCTGCTGGGACCAGTGCAGGAAGAAGGCCAGTTAAGTCCTAGGTTCCTTATGCTCCAGATGAGAGTCTGTTCTGTCCACTACAAATATTCATCTCAGGGGCTGCCAATGGTGGCATAATGAACAGATTTGGTCAATTTGAATTAGATGATTTGTATTGGTTCTACCAAACTGTAGTCTGATAGAAGCCTTACCTCTGAGATAGACTAATCTGTTTCCTATTGTTTTCCTTGACCACCATCTCCCCTGCTACAAGCCTCTTACCCATCTCCTTAGTCCCATTCTACTTCATCTTCTTTCAGATGCTCCATCTCCAAAACATACCCCAAAGCAGCTGTTCTCCCATGTTGCTTCTCCACTCCCTCAATCAAGTCCTCCCCTCCATCATGCATCAAAGCCCACCATCAACCTTTGTATTAATAAGAGAAAAACCCCACCATATAGGACAGTGGTTCTTAACCTTGGGTTACTCAGGTGTTTTTGAACTCCAACTCCCAGAAGCCTTCACCACCAGCTGTGCTGGCTGGGGTTTCTGGGAGTTGCAGTTCAAAAACACCTGAGTAACCCAAGGTTAAGAATCACTGATATAGGACATACTGTCGAAAGTGTTACATTAATCTATCCTTAACCTAGTCTTCCAAGCCAGTGGCAAAAAGGGGCTGGGGCACAAACCTCACTTATCTAAAATAAAATCCATACTCATATAAGGCTGTAAATGCCCAGTATTTAAGGGAAAGCAGGGCGAGATTCCTCAATAGCTGGAAATAAAATCTGGATCTTTGGAAGCATCCTTACCTTTATGATATTCCTTCCCACATTTCATAGTGAGGCAGTGCCACTGGAAGCACATTCTGGGGCTAGGCCTCAGTCAGAATTACACCCAAGAGGCAAGGCTCAGGAAGTGGTAGAGTGGAGAAGGACATTTTTCCAAAAGAAATGCCACTTTTAAAAAGCATCTGGTGGAGATTCAGCTCTTCACGCTTCTGAAAACAGAGCCAGCCGGTGGCACTTAAGTTGTGAATTAGCTTGTCCAGATCAAGTCCATAGCCCTCCCCAGTCTCTGCCGCCCTCCACATTTGTTATATCACAATATCCAATTATCCTTACTTTGCATGCTGAGATCCACAGCCTAACACATTTGGCTGGGGCATGCAGAGGAAACTTTCATCCTAAACTCCAAGTCCTCATACTTCTTTTTCATACATACTGGCAACTTCATTTGTGTCTGGACAACACCAATCCCTTCATATTTTTTATCACCCTTAGCTCTCCAGTCAAGCTCCTGAATGAACCCTGTCCAGTTTCTTTGTTTTTACCATACTATCACATTAGACTCACAGCTTCCAACAGAAACCACCATGTCTTATTAATGGCTGCTTACTCACTACGTTTCTCTTCTTTTTCAGACTTTCCCCCACTAACCCCCTCCTTCCCACTCATAAATGCTTCTCAACATTTCTTTTTTCTTTTTTGCCTGCCCCACCCTTTCCCCGATCATTGCAACACTGCTTTGCCTTGCTACCCCTTTACATACACTTTAAACTGGCTATTGGGAATCTTCAACCTTTCAGATGTCTTGGCCTACAACGCTCATCCACTCCACCCAGCTTGGCAGGTGGTAAAGCATTTTGGGAGTTGTAGTCCACAAAATTTGAAAGACCAAACCTTCCATACACTTGTGTTTAAAACATTTCACCCTACAAATCTGTTTGCCAGAAACATTCAATATCCTTCTCCAGGAGAGGTTACCTGTCCCAGCTCATCCTTTCCCCATTTGCTGACCAAAAGTATATCAAATCCAGTACTGGTTTGTGAGAATAGCCAAGATACTTTGGAAGAACGTAAGACAAAGGAAGGAAGAGCCCTTTCCTCGCTGTGTTCCCAGATTCAAAATATGTAGAACAATGCTCCATCTGAGCATGATCATGGACATATTCCATCCTTTTTTTTCATGGATTTTAGGGTGGCACTGAGGGTCCTCCATCCATTCCATCCTCACAACAAAATAGTGAGGTACGTCAGAGAAAAATAGTGCAGGTGGATAAGAGGCCCAAGGTCACCAGCAAGCTTCACCGTTGAATGGGAATCTGAACACATCTCTCCCTAGTCTGATATTCTAACTACTATCCTACATTGGGCTCTCAGTACCATGAGTTTCCTTAATTGTTTATAGGACAATAGGAGAGTTAACTGATCAGATCAGACCAAAGGTCTAAAGAGTGATGATGCATTCAACACTCACCAATCTCCAGTCAAACACTTCTGGGAAACATAAAAAGTGGATATGACTACAAGAGCCTCCCTTATTATTTTGCCCCCCAGTATTCCATATTGAGAGGTACACTGCCTCGGCACATGGGGGCTCAGTCAAAAGATCGTGGCTGGCAATTCTTCCTCAAATAATTTCTCTAATCCTCGTTAAACTCACCTACACTAATCCCCTTTACTTCTTCCTAACTTCTTTATCCTCACCCTTCCTCCAACTCTTTCCTCTGTTTACCCTCAGCACAGCACCCCCCCACAACGCTTCCAACGCCCCCAAACACTTACTGTACCCCACCCTTTACTACTGGGTTACCCGCGTCCAAGCCCTACACACACACACACACTTGTCTCCAGCCCCTCCCCCGAATTTCTTGGCTACCCCACCCCATTTACTTACCTCCACACACACACTCACACACAGAGGCAAGAAGAGGCGGCGGAGGCGGCGGCCACTCACACCCGGGCCCCCCCGCCCCGATGGCCCACGCCTGTCCCCCAGGCAGTGTGCCGGGCCCCGGGCGAAGCAGCCATGTCCCTTCCCTGCCGGGCCCCAGCTCAGCGCAAGGCCCCCGGCAGGAAAAAGGGGACAGAGGGTCGGTTGGGATGGGCACGGCAATCCGGCCTAGCACGTCCACTTTCTTGTCCGCAGCGACAGGACCAACATTGGTGGCGGCGGCGGCGGCGGCGGCAGCAGCAGCAATAGGGAAGGGAAAAACGGGGGGGGGGGGGATTCTGGGATTTGTAGTCCAAGAATGTATCAATCTAACTTGCTGACTCCGGCAAGGAGGCGGGGTCAGTCGGAGGACGGGAGAAGAAGGAAGGGCGCAGAGACGACCGCCCAATGGCAAGGCTCGGAGGAAATAAACCGACCAATCGGTGTGAGCTCTTTCCTCGCTTACTTCCCCCCCCTCCAGTCACACTGTCATTCAAGGTTGTGCGCGAGGAAGAGAGGTTGCTGCTGCTGCTGCTGGTGGTAGCCGCGCTGCTGCCGGTTTACATTGTTGCACTTGGTGCAGGACGTCAGAAGATTCCCAGGGGGGTGGCGGGAGGCAGACTCACATATACACAAGGGGTGTGTGTGTGTGTGTTTGATGGAAACTCGCACGACTCTTTGTGTCATGGGTCTCGCGCCGGAGACTGAACCCGAAGCCACCTTCGGAGACGACAGATGAAAAAAAGCACCTCTGGGCAGATTCAGAGTGTATTCGTTACCACCGAGTAACGAAATGCTGTACAGAGTTCAGACTTGGCCACTGTTTTTAATAACTGGACATTCGCTTCTGGGAACCGTAACTGGGTAGGAAGCCGTGCTTCTTTGTAACTAACTACAGCGCATATTCTTTGGCGTAGGTTAATCTTCCTTAAGCAGGTGTCCAGATGCGCTTGTACTGGACACTCCAGCCCCTCTAGAGCTGTGGTCCCCAACCTTGGGCCTCCAGATGTTCTTGGACTTCAACTCCCAGAAATCCTGGCCAAAAGAGGTGGCGGTGAAGGCTTCTGGGAGTTGTAATCTAAGAACATCTGGAGGTCCAAGGTTAGGGACTATGGCTAGAGCACTGGTTCTTAACCTTTGTTACTCAGATGTTTTTGGACTGCAACTCCCAGAAGCCTTCACCATCAGCTCTGCTGGCTGGGGTTTCTGGGAGTTGCAGTTCGAAAACACCTGAGTAACAAAGGTTAAGAACCACTGCTCTAGAGGACACCAAGATGGGGAAAGTGGGAAGGAAAGGGATTTCAGATCCGAAGGGGGTGCCTCCACCCATTAATCTCTCTCTTCCTGCTTGTACCCCGGCCAGACATCACCATCATCATTGTGCAGTCAAGTCAATTCTGACTTATGGTGACCTTTTCTAGGGTTTTCCTGGCCCCCTTCTTCTGGGGGTGCCCTGGGACTGTGCAGCTTGCCCAAGGCCACACAGGCTGGCTTCTCTGGGATGCACAGTGGGGAACTGAACTCCTAAACTCTAGGTCTGCAGCCAGATACCTAACCCACTGAGCAGACCAGGTACTGAAATTCAAATTCAGTTTTGGAAAATGCCATTCTAAAATTTCTTAAATTTTACCTCTCCCTGTGCACAGGTGCAATATCTGTACTCATATTTTATCAGAAAACTAGTGGTTGGGGGATGCTCCTGGATTTGTCTCTAAACCTGGATGAATCAGAAAACGTGGTTGGGGGTGCTCCTGGATTTGTCTCTAAAACTGGATGCCCAGGTTTCAGTAGTGGCAAGGAAAGCCTTTGCACAGTTAAAACTAGTGTGCCAACTGTCCTTCCACAAGCTGGCAAAGACCTTTCTCTTCAGACAGGCTTTTTCTTAGTGACTGGCAGTCTGATAGGGGTTTTGTGCTTTTTTGCTTTTTTTTAGTATTGATTTTATTTACCATTTTAATATGTTAATTCTTTAATTCTTTTTTTATATTTGTACATTTACTATTTTTTAGCTTTGCATATTCTTTTTAATGATGTGAGCAGCCCAGGGTCCTTTTGAGGAGAAAGTTGAGGTAAAACAAAAAAAATTCACTACTGTGAAGAATTAGCCGTTAAAGGGGAAAATAAATGAAGATTTAAGTTGACTGATCGTGACAGGTTGGCCCACCTCTTTACAAATGCACACACAGTTTGTTACCATAGCAGAATTGAACCTGTTTGCATTTAATTACTGGTGTGTGCATTGCTGGGAAATGAGAAGAGGCAATGCTGCGTGTATGGTGACACTTCCCCGGAGGTGTCATATTTTGAAGCAGACAATGAAGATGATGTGGACATTTGTAGAAGAACTTCAACGCTGATAGAAAGAAAATTAAGAAAAGCCTCCTTGTCTTAGAGCTGGCTATCAAATACAGTTCACAAAAATACTTGGCAGTGCAGAAAATGGCTATGTGGTCTCAGAAATTAAGACAGAGGGGAGTTGAGAAGTAAAATTTTGAAAAGCAAATATGAAAACATGTCCACGAGAAAGGCACAGCATAATTGTTAGGACCTGCTTCTCTGAAATATCATACAATTTAAACACATTTTTGAAGTTAGTTTTACAGTGACAATCTTTTTCTTTCCTTTGTCAGTCAAATTATCCCTGTGAAAATAACTTGGAATTAATTATAATTCAGCTTGCATTTGCCAACATTATGCCTGCCAAAACATAATAATAAAACCGAATGTCATCATTTGTAGCCTCAGTTCAGAATATCGGCTTTTTAATTCCACCTCAAACCTTAAAGAGCTCACCTTCAGGAGGGTGTTCATATTAACATCAACAACAGTTTATGAATAGTCACTGTAATGATATATATTTAAATGTTAATGCAACTGTCAGTTTCTGCTGGTGATTATATTAGTGTGTCTTGTAATGGATATTAGCCGCATGGCTTTTTGGAGGGATGCACACATCTAATTCCTTATCCATGTTTACAGCTATTTCAAAAGTTGGTACAGACTCAGGGTGCTTGAGAGTGACCTGCAGAAAAATTAAATATTGGTACAGCCATAATTATATGGCACCTTGAATATAACAATTTAGTATATGATTTGGGGTGTCCCCAAGCTTACTTGTTTATTTAAATACATATGAATAAACAAACCTCAGTTATTTATTCATGTATATTTGCAAGCCTGCTGTGGGCCCAAGAATGTCCTGAAGAAAATTGAGCATTGGGCTACGCACAATGGGCTGCATCCAGACTGAACTAGTTCAGTGGGGCCTAAGTACAGCAAACAGTGTGAAATTAAAACCCAGTGCAAATCATGCCAAGGTTTGTGGTTGTGTAAGTTTATACTTGTAGCTACTATGCAACCATCAGCTGGTTGAGTTATATGCTCCAGAACTCTTGTCATAGTCTGAAGGCTTCTCATGTTGGGCACCTGGAATTTATGCCCCTTACAGATACACCCTAGCCTAAAAGGCTCAAACACGTTTGAAGAGCAAATGAAACATGAGTATTAAACTAAATATATTTAGGTAATATTTTTTTTGTAATGCCCTCAACATTTCACCAGAATAAAACTTCAGTGAGTGATGCAGAGGGAGGGAAGCGGATAGACCAACACACAGTTTAATGCTTATTGGTTTGTTAGGGACGTCTTAATTTGAGCTGGGCAAGGTTTTTTTTTTTTATAATCTGAATGTCCTACAACAGCCTCCTCCAACTCCCATCATCAGAAGTCAGCATGATCGATGGCCTTGTTGGATAAGAATCATGTGGACTGTAGTTTAACAAATTTGAAGGGCACCAAGCCTGTCCTAGAAGGCTGTCTTTCTCTGCTGCTTACATTCTGAAAGAGGGAGGTCTCTGCTTCCAATACCTTAGCCTAACAAGAGGCCTTGGGTTATGATGCAAAGGAAGGCCCCACCCGCTGTGATGCACACCGTGTGAAATCATCTCTCCACTGAAAGCAGATAAAAGCCTGGTGTTAGATGTTTTCACCATTAACTGCAGCTAGTTTGTTTACCAAATATTTTCCTGATGGTTAATGTTGTCAATCACCCCCTTTTTATACTTATTTTCAGCCAGGGTGGATTAAAATAAATAATTTTTTAATCATGTTTTAAATCATAATTTAAATTAAAAATTATTTAAATTGTCAAATAATGTTGATTTTTAAAATTTAAATCATGATTTAAATCAATTTGGTTTAATCAATTTGATTTAAATCAAATCCTCCCTGTTTTCAGCTGCTGGATTTATTGGATTCCCTATTATTGTAAACTGCATTCAGGTTTTTAAATTAAAAAGCAGTATAAATTAAAATTGTTTCCACCACTGCTTGTCAGTGGATCATTCAGATTAATTCAATTGATGGAAGAAGAAGGGGAGGGGGATTGACTAACTGAACAAGCTACAGCAGGCGTCTTTACTCAGAAGAAGCCATTCTCACTGAAATTATGTTGGGCTTAATTCTGCATAAATAGGTACAGGATTGAAATTTGATTATTCTCACCTGGATACCAGGAGAGCTTGTTTCATAGTGTCCATTTTGTCGATTAAGAAATTGAATCTAATGCACAATGATTTAAGCTCAGGCTTCCGATAGTTCAGGGAACCGAACTTATTCTCAGTTTAAATCTCCTCCCACTTTTTGTTCAAAATTATCCTTCTATTCTACCCAACCAGCAGTCTTCGTTTTTGGTTCCCATAATACACACCTTTTCCAGTATCAGGATTCCACACTTCCTATGATCTGCAAAAACCTATTTTTGTTCAGTTTGTGCTGCTTCTCTCAGAGATATACCACAGCAATGATGCTCTGAAAAGCAGGTGGTTAGCTGCTTCACAACAGTTGCTAGGCAACTCAAGTTTAGAATGATGCCTTTTAGAACTAAACTGAAGAGACTATCATAACAGTTGCACAACAGGATAACAGACACTATGTTATAGATGTTTTAATGCCTGGAAAATTTTAATGTAGGCGTACCTGCTTGCTGGTTCTAGTTTTGCTGCTGCCCTGTGGTTACTTTTTTTAATTGTTTTATTATTTTATTTTGTGTGACTGGTCATTATTGTTGGTTTTATTTTGTTTAGTAATTAGTCGCACTTATCTGTAGTGCCCTTCATAAGGATAAAGTGTAATTTTAACAATATTTTAATAGAATAAATAATACTTATGATAGGGCTAATTACAACAAAGATGTATATCCTCACTTGTGCTTTTCAGTTTATACTTCGAGAATATATTTAAAAAACCACTGTCTAAATCAGACCTGGGCAAAGTGCAGCCTGAGGGCCACATATGGCCCGCGAGCTGCTCCTATCCGGCCCGGGAACAGTTTTGAACATCAAAACCATTCATAGTTTTTTGTCTAAAGTTGATCAGTTGCTTATCTTTAACATACCGCAAAAAAACTCTTTAGTATTTGTGAAGATTAACAAGTTTAAAATAAAAACAATCATAACATAACTGTTTCATTTTATTTTTAAGTAAAATTGGTTCGGCCCCTAAACAAAGTTCAGATTTTTCATGTGGCCCCCCTATAGAAATTAATTGACCACCCCTGGTCTAAATCAAACAATAGTATCACCGTCCATGAAGAAGTCATCAATAACATCTGAAATACAAACAATACATAGAGTGAACAGTTTAAATAGTCTACAGAGTTTACTCAGAGAAGTCTGTTAAATAATTAAAATGGTCTAAAACCGAATGTTATGGAAACTTAGTTCATAGTACTGTAATCAATTAAAAACATACAGCTCAAGAGGTGCAGGTGGAAGATCCAAAATGAAAGTATGAGGTGTGTTGGCAAATATAAGAACCTAATAATTTGTTAAATGAGTAAGTAGATTATAGACATACAATAAAAGTCACAATAAAGATGCTCAGAGCAGCTTCCTCAAGATGAAGAATGTAATATGCAGAATAGCTTGGAGAATGTGCATTGTACATGTGCTGTGGATTCACAGTTCTGCTGTATGCTATGTAATTGTGAACTTTTTACATAAGCTACTATAAAGAGAATGATTTAAAATGTGGATTTATAATTGAAGGCTAAGAATTTGTTGGCTTGAGAGGCTGACCAATTAAAAAGTACTGCAGCAAATTATAAATAGAGTCCGATAAATCAGAAAACACATAAATTGCCAAAAGCTAGAATGTTTCAGTCATGTGATAAGAAGTGAAGCATACAGATTGTTCTAGCTGGTTATTCAATGGAAAACAAATGGAAAAAGACATCTAGGGATCAGAAAAACGCATTTACTGAAGAATTTAGGAGACTGGTCTGAATGCAGCACAACATCGTTGTCAGAATATGATAGCATCCCGAATCTGTATGGCTGTGAAGACATCTAACACCTGGTGGGACAAAAGCAACAAGAATAATTAATAATTTCACAGGTTAGAAGTCTCTTTTTGGTGTGATGTGCTGGAGCCTTTCCCGCCACACCTACTTTAAGAATCTGAGCACCCATAACTTACTGAAGAATATTTTGGTCATACAGTACTTGGCAACAGGCTTTACAATAAGGCCTGCATTTGTAAAGTAAATAACAGATGGAAGGTTTAACAAAATGGGCTTTACCCACTATTTCTGATATCCTTAGGACACGAGCAAAGGGTCTGCTGAGTGGAATCAAAACACACAGTAATCTCTTTCCCTCACTATACAGAAGCTGTTTTCCAAACAGATTGAGGCAGAATTTTATTTGCTCATGGGCGTGAGTTGCTGAAGTGTATAACACTGTAAGTCAGTTTTGGATTCCTGTTACAGGAACCATGGAATAAGCGCTGCTGCTAATCTTACCTCAGTAGATGAAGGTTTTGCTTATATTTTTTTCTTATATTTTAATTTCTACTCCACGTTATCTCAAAATGGTTGTTATTGTAGGGTTCTGTTCTGCTGATTTGTGGCCTTCCATGTGCAAGGTCATGGAACATGTTTATCCCTTTATCATTAGAGGGTGAGATTTGGCAGCTCCACTACTCCTCACTCTCGAAAAAAAAATTTTTTAAAGAGTCTCCTCACATGATATTGCCCCTTACAGACTTTTTTCCCCTACTGCCTTTTCCAAAAGACACAAGCTTTATAACTAGGCTAGAGAGCAGACCACATACATTATACTAGGACAAATAGAAGAGACAGGAAGCTAGGAAGACGGGAAAGCTTGAACCTACACAGAATCAGTGCTAGCATGAAAAGAGACACGGGGAACACCAGTCCTGGAAAATGCTGGGGAAAAGAATATCAGGAACTAGGTTTCCTCCATTCCCCTGCAGGGAAATCCCCCCTGAAGCTTGCACTTACTTCAGGCATACTCACTCCTTATTAGGAGCTGGCAGAAGACAATGAGTCCCCAGTTTGGGATTCTACAGATGAGTGGGGAGAATGAGACTCACTGGAAGGACTGACACCCATATCCCTTGGTGGATAGAACTAAGGAACAAGGTAAAGGTAAAGGTTCCCCTTGACATTTAGTCTAGTCGTGTCTGACCCTAGGGCGCAGTGCTCATCCCTGTTTCCAAGCCATAGAGCCAGCGTTTGTCTGAAGACAGTTTCTGTGGTCACGTGGCCAGCGCGACTGGACACAGAATGCCGTTACTTTCCCACTGAGGTGGTACCTATTTATCTACTCGCATTTTTACATGCTTTCGAACTGCTAGGTTGGCAGGAGCTGGGGCAAGCAACGGAGCTCACTCCATCATGTGGATTCAATCTTACGATTGCTGGTCTTCTGACCTTGCAGCACAGAGGCTTCTGTGGTTTAACCTGCAGTGCCACCACATCCTTTTTTTGTTCCTCAAAAAGGAACAAGAGATGGTGCTAAAAGACCTTGGACAAATGTCAAGAACTAGGGCCAAAGAAAGTGAACTATATGCTGAATCGGTTATTGTTTTAACCCCTCCCAAGTTCAATAAACCCTGTTCTGTTACATCTCATTGGCCTGATGTGTATGGATATGAGGATGGAAGAGCACCTGTTAGCCAAATTGGGGTTGGCAGGGTGCACACAATACCTTTATGAAAGTTTGCACACCAAAAGTGTGTAAACTTCCGTGTTCTCTTGAACTGTCTATCAGGGTAGAGGGTACAAAACTCAGATGTGAAAGCAGAACAGCCAAAAATTTTGTCTATATGTTGTGACTCTGAAGTCTTCCGTTTAGACTCAGTCTCAAAAGGAAGAGTTGTATGCAGAATGAGCCACTAGTAGGTGTTGCAGATACTGGAACAGACAGATCTGAACTATAATAGGATATGGTCTTAGAAATAGCAATCAGCCATACGTCACTTGCCTCTGAATGTTTGGTGTAATTTTAAAACTGCAGCTCTTACCAGTGATATATTCAGCTTGTAAATCTTCATTTTGGATGTAGGATGGAAGGTTTGTTCTCTGTATGGGAAAAAGTCGGCCAGTGCAGAGACTTCAAGATGGAGTGATCATCCAAGTGGGCAGAATTATTTAAAAGCCTTCCAGAAGCACTGGGAGCTGCCTAAGAAACAGAAAAGAAGTATTTCTTACAATAAATTCAAACAAATTTAAGATCTTACGGCAACTGACTTTGCCTGGATCTAGCTGTAGATGACAGCCGTGCTATCAGAGAACCAGGAGGCACTGAAATAAGTACAGACCTGGTATTCCACAGAAGCCTATGTGCCATAGGTAATCAGAAGCACAGTGTTTTTGGACAGGATCAACCAAAACGCTCATAAGAAATAACTATTTAAAACATAAATGATAAGAACATTTTGGACAAAAAGGCAAAGTTTTGGCCCATTGTTATTGCAACTTTCTGTTAATATAAGACCTGGCTGCTAAACTGTAATTGAGGGTCATCAAGTCATCATATGTGAAATCATGGGCATGGTGGTCTTGCATCTGTGCAGAGCTGCTACAGTATTAGAGTGAGTGATTTTTGTTCCTTCTCCCCTCCAGTATGCATGTGCTGCTTGCTCTCCTGGCAGCTTCTCTCTGTTCGGAATCTGCTTCTATGGCAACCCAGATATGCTGATGGGCTGGTAGGTGGTTGTGTGATTCCACAGATGACCCCTTGAAGACCCAGTTACAGGTAAGCAATCCATCCTCCTTTGCGGTTTTTGGAAATTTGCAAAGGTGGCTGACTGGCAAACTCACTGGAAGCAGGAGGGGTCACTGGAAGATGGAAGAATTGTCTTCCCAAAGGCCATATTTGGGCATTTGCACAAATATCCAGGTGGCAGTGCCTGACAATGAGGGAGGACTACATGACAATATACAATTTCTCCAAAAATAAGACCTAACCTGAAAATAACCCCTTGTATGATTTTTCAGGATGCTCGTAATTTAAGTCCTACCCCAAAAACAAACCCCAATTAAGTGAAACCCCGGCCTCCACCATTGTGCAGCAACCAGAAGATGACATGACTGTATTTGAATAAATGTGGATTGTTGTACATGAAAAAAAAATCACCTGAAAATAAGCCCTACTGCATTTTTGGAGCAAAAATTAAAATACAGATCCTGTCTTAATTTTGGGGAAACATGGTGGGTGGGTGGGTGAGTGGGTGAGTGGGTGGGGAAATTTTGTACTGTTTGTCTCCATAAGGCCATTTGTCCCACTGTTTGGTGTGCTGATGGTCAGGTTAGTCTGCTTTTTTTTTTCATCCACACATGGAGATAGCTGGAATAGATTACTTTGCCCCAACCCACATCTTTTTGAACATGTGAAAGGGTCCTACTATTCCAGCATAGGTTGGGAGGCTCCAATTTAGTCCATTCCCAGCTAGTGTGGTTGCTTGGACAGACTAAACTAGAGCCTTGCAGCACCTTCTAGTGTCAATTTCTGGTAGAATACAAGCCACTTCAGGTTACTGGAAACTGAACACTTCCTCTGATTGTCTGCGGAAAGTCAGGGGAAATTAAATTATTTTTATTGCATCTGCTGAATTGTTGCTGATGCAAATAATTACTTTGATTAAGTTTTATTTTTCTTTGCCTGTTTGCATATTGCCAGTCGAAGCCACAGCTGTGGGCAGATTCTCAATCGGCAATAAACACATTTAATCAAAGTGATTAATCACATCAGTGACAATCTAGCAGACATAAAAAATAATTTCACTTCCCCGTATCTTTTCCAGATGATCAGGGGAAGGGTTTAATTGACAGTGGAACAAGCCAAAGATCAATATGCTGTTCAGATGGGAGAAGTGTGCCAAATGACACATTGCTTCTTCCCCGCAGCCACAAATGACCCTTTATAGCCTGACCCAGCACACACCAAAACAGCCAGTCTGGAAATACCCAGGTTCAGCAACAATTTGCCTCTACAAACATCTCAGTAAGAGCAAGTTCTCGGGTATCTTCAAAAAAGGTCTTAATTTATATTGCGACTTGCAGATTTCTATTTCGTAGCAACATGGAAATGGGCCTTCTGTGCCATAGCAACCACTCTGTGTAATAATCTCTCTTGTACATTACATTAGACTCAGACACTGCCATGTTTCAGACCTTGATTGAAAATACTGTAAATTGTTTCCAGGCATTTAATTTTTTTAAAAGGTTATGATGTCACAAACCATACTAGTATTTTTTGCTAATGAAAAACAATATTCAAACATTTCCAGTAAATTCATATACTTATATTAGAAATTGGTTACAGTATATATGAGGTTGGTTTCTTTCGAGAGGGATCTCTCTAATATAGAAATCAATTATTGTTTCAGATCTTCCTTTAAAAAGGTCAGTAAATGGTTCAGCCAAAATGCTGAAGTACTCTTGAGATTGCAAGAGACAAACCGTACCAAAATCTTTTTTGATAGATCGAACACAAACCGTTTGAATTGTGATGAGAATACATCTACCCAGGTACATTAAAATCTCACAATCTGTTTGTGAGGGTTCGTTTGTAGGGGCTTCAGTCACACCAAATAAAGGCTGTTTAAACGTAACAACATTGTTTTCATTTATTAAACTGGTAACATTAACAGGAACTGCTTTATGTACGTGTTCTCTTGTCTCTTGCTGTCCAAAACGTGACTGCAAGGGTGTCCAAATGTTGTTAACAAAAGGATTCAAGTCATCAAACTCCCATGGTCCCAATAACACTTTCTCTGGAACCTCTGGGTCTTCTCCTTCCCCCTCCGCTGCTAGTAATGGTAGGGTCTCCTCTTCTCCAGACCACCCCCAGAGTGGGGATCCCTCTCCCAGACTGGCTAGCCACAGTCCAGGAAGACTCCCATCTTCTGGAGCTTGGCAAGATGCCATGATTTCTTGGCCTCCAACTCTCGATCCACGGCTTCTCGTTCCTCTCTCAGCCTACGACGCCACTCTTTCGCCTCCATCTCTCCCCAGTAAGAAGGATGAGGTTGTTGCCCCTGACGTCGCCGCCTTTCTGCCTCCTCATGAGGTACTTTTACTTGCTCCCATTTCCCCGTCCAGGGGTCTTGCACCCAGACTTCCTCCCAACCGCCTGGAATGTCGTCCGGCTTCTCCCTTATATCCCGTCCCCGCCTCCACCAAGTGTTCCCCTTTTCCCGCCAAATCTTCACTGGTTTGTACCGCCACACTTAACCCTTTTATCCCCAATACCAGAACTCAGGTATCCGCCCCTTGATGTTTCTGTCCCTCTCTGTCTCTGTTCCTCTAACTCTTTAGTGTCCACCTTCTTGCTTTTTTTTTCTAGGTGGAGAAGGTGGTGGTGGGAGGTCTGAGTCTCCTTAGAGTGAGATGGAGTAACGGCGCTCCTACAAATGCTTCCTGGCCCTGGCCTGGGGCTTCACACTGTTCTCATCCCTCTAGAGGTGCAACGTAATTACTACTGGCAAAGACCACGTCGAGACTTCCACTGGACCACCCAGAGCTCAAAGCTATGTCGTTCAGAAATGGCAAACTTTAATAACAATATGGAAAATATGCTGAATATATAGTTTTACTGGACAAATTCAGAGCAACAGAAGAAAACAGCTCAAGCATCCTTGTTTCCTGCAGCTTTTTTTTAATTGTTTCAAGTAACGACATGAGAACAGAAGCTGTTTTTGTACTTTATTATACAAAAGAAAAAAAGGGGGTGAAGGGAAGATCCACATTTTAAAGTCTATTCAGACTTGATACCAAAGTCCTAGCCAAGTTGATTGCAAATAGGAAAAAACCTCTAAGAAAACCAAAGTGTCCTTAGCTTTCCAAGTCCCATTTAACAATAGAAACGGAAAATCAGGTACTTTTTTAAAAGTATTTTAAAGATCTTTAAATCTACAAAAACACTTTTTAAATATTAGAAAAAAATGATTCCTTTTCACAAGAACTTGTTTGGAATATCACATTTTGTCAACAGTGCAAAAATGCACTCAGTTCCACCTTCTTACAGTACAAACGTTCCCCCCGCCCCATCCCATAACACCTTTCTTTCTTTTAAAAAAGACATAAGTACTGTAAGAATTTTACTTTAAAGAACAAGATTTTTCTTGTTAACTTTTTTCTTTTACTTAAAAACACATCTACTAAAATACAACAGAGCTGGTACATTCAGCAAAATCAAACCAGGTGTCTCATTTTAGAAGGGCGAGACAGATGGGGGGGGAGGTGTTCATTAAGGGATCAGAAATAAGAGTCTAGGAGTATCACAAAGGTTGATAGAAGACAGAGGGGTTCGCTTAATTAGATATACAATTGGTCATATCATATCACACATGGCTATAAAAAGCAAACTTGAAGGGGAGAAATCCAGCCAGATACAGCTATGGCTAAGGTATTTTTCAGATGTCAAACAGGTAGCATTTGTTGAAGCAACAGGAGGCAGTGTGCACATTGCTCTACAGCTAAGCAGTGCTTAGAGTATCAGTTTATGCACAGGCTGTTGCACCACAATGTGAACAGTTACACAAGAATTACTGTATATTTTACCTAGTTGCTGTACACAGCCATTCTCCCCTTGCCCTTGCTCTAATACTTAGCATAATCCATTCCTGCATGTGGTCACCTTTGCTGGATCACTGGGGTAGCCGTTATAATTCGTATTTAATAATAAACGTTTAGAAATACAGGGATTTTTTGAGGTGAGAAGGTATGTGAACCTACAAGTATCCTGCATGTCATGTCATCCCACATCTGGTACAGTTCTGGAATTCTATTAAGAGACCACTATATACATCCCCACCCCCCCAAAGAGAAAAAACTGGGACCGCCCTCCCAAAAGGGGAGAATTTTAAAAAGCACAGGATTTCCCATCTACTGTACTTCCAAGTGTATGTGCACACTACATGCATAGCGGATGACACTGCATTAAATACATGTCTAATAAGGAACAACTCTAAGGAAAAAATGTGTCCGTTTTTAGAAGATACTTACCAAAGGTTCCTCTGAACTGGATGGAATGTCTCAGCTTTGGTTGCTTGGAAGAAATGTGTGACAATGGAGTAAAGGGTCTCCACAGACTGATGCTTGCCCCTTGCATGGTTCCATGTGGCCCCTTACAGTGCAAAAAACATTGATGGCTTCCATGCAGCTAATGTACTGTAATGAGTAAAGCAGCACTGAACGGACAGACAACAGTGAGAAGGCAGTGGGGCTAAGCTTAGCATAACTTCATCTCCTCCATAGGATGAAAAAGGCAATTAAATTTATCTTTTGAAATAATATGCAATCATTACATTTTTTTTATACTGAGAAAGCACCTTTTTTTAAAAAGAAGCGTATTTTCTAGTGGCCATTATTCAATATATACGGAGGAAATACAAGTGATTTATATGGGACCTGGAGAATATATAGCACTTACCTATTGATTCCTCTGTAGTCCAGAATCTTGCTTAAAGGGCTGATAACCTATGTGCAAAGTTTGCATGCCAGTACAGTACATGTTGACCAAAGTTCACTAGCACATGAGTGCAGCATGACAAGGGGGTTGCACACTGGTAAAGACCCTTTACATGAAATGCTGGGCCCTACAGAATCCTACACAGGTTCTCAATGTGTCTTGTATGCATAAACCTAAGATCACTAAATAATTGCAAGCAATTTACTGAGTAACCCAAAATATTTTACGTTTTAGTAAGTTATGGAATTCATACTTTAAAATGTGACTACTTCCAATTTGAGTATTTCTAATCTTTAATAACAAAGGCAAATTATTGATCATATATCACCCATAAATGCTTCCTTTTTAATCATGTAATTTTTCTTGCTCAAAGATATCTATGTAGAATTTACTGGGTTAATAAAAGTTTCACAAGTCTGTGCAATTTTCAGTTTTACCTATATATTAAAGGAGACCTCAAGATCAAACTAATGTATTAGTGAAATGCATGTAACACCAATGTTTGTGTGTACTGCACATTAATTCAGCACTTTCTTAGTCTTCTCCCCTGAAACGTTTTACTGAGGTCATTTTGTTCATGATGAATTAATTTCTGTTTGCTTGTATTACTGGTATTTGATTACTTACCTGATGAACCCAAAAAGGGTCCTGAGCTTGATACCTTTCCCAAAGGTGCATCCACACAAACACCTCCTTCCACAGGGCCACCCAAAGTAGCCTTCACCAAAATGGAGAACAGATGTACATGCAGGAATTAACTCTTGAACTATCTGGTACTATCCTCATTACAATGTAATTATATCCTCACACATACAAATTCATGGCCCTGTGCAGAAGACAGTGGAGTCTTCTTTCTAAAGAAAGCTAATTAATTTTTTAACATGTAGATGGTTCAGGAAAATTATTTTTCAACTCTGAATGCAGAGTGGAAAACTAATCCCTATCTGTATTTCTTTATGCAGGTTACCAAAACTAAGCAAAGCGAAGCAAAACAAAACAAAAAGACCTTCAAGCCAAGCCACCTTGGCTGAATCAAAGATGCGCTCCCAAGAAAGCTATTGAAATCAAGTGAATGTTATATCTATCCAATCTCTGGGTTGTTTGAGAACATTTGCTTGCCAAGATGAAGTATTTTCTTCTTCGTATCTAGAAACAGAAGCAATGTGAGGGAAAGGCCACTGCTTTAAAAAAACTGGAGTACTTTTCAACTTGAGATGGGTGCAGGAGGCAAAGTTTTCCAGGACATTTTGTGAAGGAAGCTCAATTTATTCTAACTGCTGGTTTGAAAAGGAGCAGCTTTACACATAGTACCCGTCTTCAAGGAGACACAGCATTCTTCTAATGGGCAAATGCTGAAGGGGAATAAATTTTGGCAGCCAGGCGGGAAAAATTGCTGGTCTTTGAAAAATGTCTTGTTGCCACTTAAAAGCCAAGAGAGGCTAGACAAGTAAATCAGCTAACTGCATTTCTAATTCAGAATGTATTCAGTGTACTTTATAATCCTGCGTTTTCTCCCATTATTAAAAAAGGTTTTTTAAAAGAATGATCCAGAATATGTATTTGCATAATATATACAAGTTGCAGATTTTCTTGACATACAATTCTGCATTTAATAGAAACAGAAACAAAAAAAATGACACCCCCCCCCAAATAAACAGGGAACATAAAGTCTCTGATTACACAGGGCCCCCAAGATCTATCCCGAGTCCTGACTTGGACTGGCTGTCCATCCATGCTGCCTTTAATCTCGTTGTTTCTGCTATCATTGCAGATTAGACATGGGCAATTGAAAAAGAAAAGGTTAAAATAAGAGGTTAATGGAATTTCTGAAACTTTGAAAAAACAGTGTATTGTTTTCAAAGCCACTAGATTTGTTTTTGTGATTTTTTGCAACTAGTTACTGCTAGAAAAAATGTATTTTGCTAGGTAAATAAGGGTGAAAGGTGTTTTTCATCCATTACCTTTGGCCTGAATTACCAGGATAGAAACAAATCATGATTTGCTCTCTGAAAACTGTGCGACCATCTTCATGTGGTTGTCTAGAAGTCATGGCATTATTTTGTTTCAAAATATTGTAAGTTTTTTGCTACAGGAAAAAGCGAGCCTTGAAATACAATTTTCCCTCCAAAAAACAATGTGAAGACTGAAAAAACAAGGAATTGACAAGAAATAACCTTTGAAATGCCAAAGACCTGCTTTAGCTTTGAAAGGGTATCTCTGCAGTTTGCTCATACAGTGGACCCTTGACTTACAGACGGTTCGATTTACAGATTTTTCGAGTTACAGACTTCTCAGACCGCAAAATTAAGGTTCGACTTGCAGCCTGAGAATCAACCTACAGACCAGATAAAAACAAAAATGGAACAAAAACGGCCGGTTACAGGATTAATCAGTTTTCAATGCATTGTAGGTCAATGGAGACTCGACCTACAGACTTTTCGACCTGCAGCCACCTTTCCAATACGGATTAATTCCGTAAGTAGAGGGTCCACTGTATATCACAACTTTGGTTCAGAAATGGGCAGATAGGGGTTTATGTGCCTCTAAGTTGGATGTACAAAGATAAGCCGAACGGACATTGTGCTAAGTTAACAAGATGTTGCTGGCAGAAGAGCTTAAGTTTGTAGCATGTGTTGTTTCTGTTAGTCAAAAACATAGGATAAGACAAGCCCTGCAAAGGGTGAAGCCCTTCCAGCCACTGGAAATTCTGTTTACTTCTTGTTCTACCTCCCCATGACTTTTGAGATTTCACTTTGAATTCTGTCTTCAAAACCTTGCAGTCCAAGAACACTGATTTCAGTGTATTGCAATGCAGCCCAGTACTAACAACGCTTTTGTGTGACAATCACATTTTTAAGGCACAGCTAGCAACAACTGCTTTAGGGAAATAGAGGGGCAACTCCCAAATTACACTCTTTAAATAAAAAAAGCTTTTTTTTCTTGAGTAATGTATTTTTTCCAGTGCAGTGTCTGCGGACATGCTTTCTCTGTTTGCTAACCTTTACAGATGTCCAGTTCCTCCCTTCACTCCCTTTCCCACAAGGCTTTAAGATCTACTAATAGGGCATTTGAAATCTGAAGAATTCTCTTGTTTTTACCATTTCACAATCACAACTGGATGCTACTCAGTCAAAAACAGCTAGTGACACAGCATGGTTTCCAGGGAGAGTTAGGCACCGGCATTCCCATTTTTGGAAACGAAAGGGTTTTCCTTGAAGAAAAACTCAACAGGTGGAGTGTAAGCTGTGCGTTCAGTTTCCATTCTCCTTCTCCTAAAGGAGGGGAGAAGATCGAGGGAAAGAAAATAATATGATTGGGGCAAGCCAAATTTGGGTAGATGCTATTGGTTGTTTGCCATGGCCTTAGAAAGATAAAAACACTAACTTCAAACCAGTTGATATTCCAAAGAATGCAAAAATAAAAATTAGTCAAGGGTAACTGCCTTGTGTACATTATGATCTAAGAGTTTTGCATGTAAAAATGTGAATAAAAATAAGCCTGAAAACAGGGGAAAGGGTAAGTAAATACAAGGCCAACTGTGACTAGATGGAAAAGACCTCATAAATGTTTACCTGCTCAATTAAACAGTAGGGTGCAATGTTGTTGTTGTGCACCTTCAAGTAGGAACTGAATTATAGTGACCCTAACAGGGATTTTAAGGTAAGTGAGATTCTTACCTTTACCAGTTTCACACTCTCAGGGAGTTTCCATGGCTGTGCTGGGATTTGAACCCAGGCCTCCTCAAGCTACTCCATTACTCTATCCACTACATCACACTGGGTATCAGGGTGCAACATACTAGATCTCTGTTTCTGAAGTCAATCACCGACACCAAGTTCATTTGAACTGACTTAGTACAGAGGTGATTTAGTTTTGCTCACAAACCTTCCACTTATGTGTCCCCTCTTCCTCTTGTGCAGAAATCTAACTTGTGTTGTGCATTTATAGGGGCTTAACATGGCACCTTCCAGATGTACTGGACTACAAATCCCAGCACCAGCTGGCATAGCCACTGGCAATACTGGTTGTAGATATGAGGTATAGTCCAACCATCTCGGAAGGGATCAGGGAGAGAGAAAGATGTGCTGAACAGTTTAGCAAGCATGTTCAGATGAGGCCAGTGTCTTGAGCTTTTTAAAGTCACAACTAAACATTACAGCAGACATCTTGAACTCTCTTCTGCTAATGTGTAGTCATAACAAAATATGTAATGTAACGTCACAGTGCTGCTTATTTCCCTTTCCAGCTTCATCACATTGGTTCTTCCAGAGAAAAGGAGGAAATTTGCAGTGTGTGACATTCTGAGTAACTTGACATTATAAAAAGAGAACAGAGATTTTGGAACTGTTTTTCATGACAGCCATAAGGTTTTAGCTTTGGCCTTATAAGAGAGCAAACAGAATAGCTGGTATAGGGTGTGTAGTTTTGTTTTGTTGTGGTTTTTTTTTTTGGTTTTTAAACAGAAGATGCCAAGTACATTTCTTGTAATCTGCCTCTTCTTGACACTCAACTTCTGCCCAAATCCAATGAACAAGTACAGTTTGAGTAAAACTAAGACATGTTGAAAGAAACTTCACTACAGGCCTCTTATATACACTTCCCACCCACCCCCACCCCTAAGATCCTATACTTCACAACTCTCTGTGAGTGTAGGAGATGTAAGAAGCATCTGATGTCAAAGACGGGATAGATAACTTGTAAAAAAAAGATGGTTTTCTTACTTGGTTTATAAAAAATTATTTTTAAAAAATGCTAATGACACAGATGATCCCCCGAAACCAACCGCCCCACCCAAAGACAGTCAACAAAATGCCCCATTTTGGTACAATTATTGGTCACTTCATTGTTAAAAAAAAATAAAATAGATATATTAACAACAACAACCCAAAAGGGTCTGGCCATTACTGTCTTTGTCCAAATGCTGGTCAGAAAAATGACAGAAAAAGTCCACCTCCTGCAAAACAAAAGTCAAATCCCCTTGGAGCTCTTGAAATCTTCTCCCCAGAACATGCCAGACATACCCCTTTGAAAAAAAAAACATAATACAAACAAAACAAACCTGTTTTTCCATTCCTCTAACCCCTGACCCTTGCCATGCGCTCACATGAAATATACCCACCCCCATTTCCCTTAGCAAGAAATGCTGGATATCCAGTTCGTCACAGGAAATAGCTAAGTGCAGCTGTGGCCATTTTGTTCTCCTTCTCTCTCTTTTGCCAAGGTGTGAAATTTTGAGACTGTACAAGATTGTCCACTTTGAGGAGAGGTGGGTCTCACTGGCAAAGTCCAGAACCTTCCATGGCTCATGCTTTCTGGGAACCCATCTCTCCTGAGCTGTCTCTTGTATGGGGGTGTGTCTTTCATTGCCAGGTTGTTGGGTGTGTGTGTGTGTGTGTGTTGTTGTTGTTTTTTAAAAAAGGATTTATACAGAGTCCCAAGCTGGTGGCTAGAATTAGGGTGGGGGAGAGGTGGAAATGTGGAGGGAAAATAAAAGAGGTCTGGATTTTGCAATGACCCCTTCTCACCTCTCACAAAAGTGGGGAAACCCCCAGAGAGATTTAATAGGGTGTGTCAAAGTGAGGAGTGCAGAATAAAACTCATTCCTCACAACATCACCACCACACCCCAAAGAAATAAACAAAAATAAATCCCTCTGCTGGTTTGTCAGCTATTTTCCACCCCAACCCCCACTGCTCTCACATACAACCACACAAAGTTAAGTACAATGCGAGGTCTGTGGAGAGAGGAAAATAATTAAACCACAGTGATTTTTCTTCTCCCCTTTCCTCCCCATCCTAGCTCTCCAGCTACGGATGTTACTATTATCCGGAAAAACAAAACCGAATAAGAGTACAGCAAGAAAGGTGGCCAGAGGAAGGGGTTGGTTCAATTGGAGTCCGAATCTGAAGAGTCTCCAGAAGAGGATGAGGAACTGCTGCTTCCCTCTGATTCATTGTCGTCGTCGTCATCTTCTTCTTCTTCATCGTCATCTTCTTCCTCATTCTTGGAAGCAAAGAAGAAAGACAATCTGTTTAGTGTGGGGAAGGGCGGTACTGCATGACAGCACTGGTCTGCATGTATTCTGTTAATGTAGAGTGCTACATGTGGTAGTAGGCACAGATTCTAGCTTCTTAAGGATATCAGAATTTAATTAGAATTTAAATAACATTTGTACCTCTCACCACTTCAACATTAATGAATGAAAATATGATGACTTTATCTACTAAAGCTCAAAAGCCTAAAAGTGTTTGTACAGGATTTCCAGTAGTCAGAATTCTAGTACCTTGCACACCCAGCCATTTGTTAACAACTAGTAAAAGTGCAAACATTTTAGAATAAAATATGAAAAATAAGGAATTCGTTCAATTAGCTTGATTTATACAAAGATATAGAATGAAAAGAGGCAGCAACCAAAGAGGAAGATCAAGTGTAAGATGAATTGAATCAATAAGGAAAACCATGCCCTTATATTTCCAAGACCAGAACAGGGCTATTAATAATATGACTATTTGGAGGCCAGAAACTCACAAGGAAGCACTGGAAGTTAATTAATAGTACTGTATGTAACTGCAGCAAGGCTCCAGAAACCAGATGTCCCAGCTACAGGAGATACATTGTTCTTGTGCATTATTATCCCTTTCTTTAGTGCAAAATACACATAATGCTAATTACAATGACTCCCAATCAGTGCACTTATCCCCTAAACATGAAGCATCTGGGCTAAGAACAATCTGGATGTCATTGCATCTAACATAGATGCCCTAGCTGTCCATCTTGTTTCAAATGGAAAGAGATAAGTTACTGCAGTTAAAGTGTAAGGAAAAGCATTATTTTCCATACTCAGAACTACTCTTCTCTATCACTATTTCACTTGTTCTAAAGCAGAACACTGATACGGAAATCAAATTCTCAAGCCAAGGGCAATATCCTGTTAATAAAGTATATAAAGCGGGCAGGTGCAGTGCTTCCTCTGATCTCCAGCTTGCAACGGTATGGTCTGAAGACCACTCTGTCAAAAGCAATGAATTTTCTGTGCACACAAAGGGCTGGCAAATACCATTGTGCACAAATACCTAGAAAGAACAAGTGGTCACACAATGGCTGCTTGCATGCATAATACAAACAATGAGGATTCTACATTAGGTCTTTTAAGACTGAATCTGTTCTACAACTATTATTGCCAACTGTCTCGAACAGGTTCCACTTTTTAATGAGCACAGTTAAGCTCAGTGATCATTATCACCAATTTCTGTTCCTGACAGTAGTCCCACAAAATTAACAGGGACTTAAGTTAGTGCCGAGTTGGTAAGATCCATTCATTTTATCTGTTTTATACTAACCAGGACTAGCAACTAATCAGGAAGCATGTACAGTTGGTTTTGCAGGATAGATGTGAACTGACTACATAAGGTTCTTATTCTGTTTGTATGGAAAAGTTCTTTAAAAAGATTACCTAAGGCATATTTATGCCACCCACGAGGAATGGGGGTTTTCCAGAAAGTTGCAGCAAAGAATGGTAACTCTGTCACTGAAAGAATCTTGGATAAGTCACACTGCAAAGATTTCTTCTTGGAAGCAACTGTGAGTGGTGACTACTGGCCCATTTTAGGAGATCACGGGACGACAATCTGGAGAACCCCAAGCTGTCCTACAAGCAGTGTTTATGCATAGGTAAGTACATATACATTCACATATCACAGACTCACCTCATCCCCATCTTCACTCTCCTCTTCACTGCTTGAATCTGAAGAATCGCCTCCTTCCTCAGAGGAATCACCATTGTCATCTTCTTCTTCTTCATCTTCATCATCATCATCATCATCGTCGTCATCATCATGATCCTCCTCCTCTTCCGATTCCTGTGGACCACATGGAGAATTTCAATGGAGCCATGGAAAAACATGAAAACTGTTATGACTCCCATCACACCTAATCAATGTCAATGTTAGTCTGAGTTCAAGGGATTAGGAATTTGGCATCCAGAGCAGGAGTCCCCAACCCCCGGTCCGTGGCCTTGGACGGAACGCGGAGACAGATCTCCCACCCCACGCGTGCACTCCCCCCCGCACAGCCCCTTTGCACATGTGCATGAGTGTGAGCGCCCCATGCCCCTATGCGCATGCACACAAGTGCCCATGCCCCCATGTCACTCCCTTTGCACATGCGCGTGAGCGCAGGGGTGCCCCACTCCCCTGTGCACAGACCCTGTCCCCCCCCACAACTGGTCCACAGTGACAAAAAGGTTGGGGACCACTGATCTAGAGGACTACAGCTTACCCATTCCGGTTGTAAAGCCTGCTTCTTAAAGCAAACATATATGACTATAAAATATGCCAGATGGGTGGGATATAAATCAAACAAACAAACAAACAAACAAAATATTTATTCCTGCAACTCTGGCCTACTGTTATTTAAATGAGTATCCAAATAATCTAATATTTGTGCCTCTCTTGCAGCCCTAAAGTGAGCTACTTATAGAGAACTCCAGACATGAAAATAAAGTTGCATTCAGGCATCAACATCTGAAATGTAATACAGCAGGGACCCCACATCTGCAAGGGAATGGTTCCAAGACCCCCCGCAGATGCTGAAAAATGCAGAATGCTATTTTTAAAGCAAACACTGAATATAGCATAGTCTTTGCCCAGTTCTGGTAATGACATAATGGAAATCTATTTCTCTAGTGAATGCTATACATAGCATGGTCTCTAGCTCTATTTATTGGCCAGTTCTGGTAACTTCAATGTTAAAAATATATATTTTGGGGGATTTTTATTTTGATATTTTTAATATTTTCGTATCATGTTTAAGAAGGACAGGAAGTCTAATGTCCTTCTCCAGATTGTGCCGCCATCTTCAACCACCTCAGTGAAGGGATACCAAACTTCCAGCTCCCCTATTGAAGCTGAACTGTTAACAATGGGACTGAACTCATCACCATCCCATCCTGAAAGCCCAGATGTGTTAGAAAGACTGAGAGAGAGAGGACACCAATCAACAGCCACCAAGGTGAAAGCGGGACAGTTGGAAGAGGGATAAGTCCATGGAGAGGAAAACAGATAGGCAGGAATAAGGAAAGAAAGGATGAGGGGAGAAAGGGTGGAAAAAAGAGGGGAATATAAAGGGAGAAGACAGAACCATCTCCAGAGGGTTGGGAGTATATTGAGTTGGAAGACCCTTGGACAGGGCAATGGGTAACGAAAGAAGAAACTTAGAAGATAACGAAAGAAGAGCTTAGAAAAAAAGAAACAGACAAGTCCTTAAGAAACTATTGGGAAGGATGGAGGAACAAGAGAGAAGAAGGGAACAAAGGAGAATATCAGAAGGTAGAGTTTGTCAGGGACCATGGCCAAAAGCAGATTTGAGAAGGGAACCAGGTACTCGGGAGAAGCAACAGGAGAAAGCCAAAACCCGGTCTGTGTGGGAGACTGTTGGAATACTAGAAGTAGCTGTCCGAGTGTCCCTTATTATCCAACTCAGTGAGCCCATATATGCCCGAAAGGGTATGGGGAAGTAACCCTAGGATGCACATAGACATGTTTTTAGATGTTGTTAATGATAGTTTTAACGTTCAACCATTTTTGTATGAAGAAGGACCTGTGGAGGTTGTGGTGGAACAACCACCTTTAAGGTTAAATAAAAGTTCCTTGGTTAAACCAGATGCCTCTTCATTGTAACTAAAGGATTTTGGAGGAATCTGAAGGTTAAACCTGAACCCACTAACACTGTGGATAAGTAAATCAGCGGATACTGATTCTGAGGATAATGGGATCCTACTGTATTACCATAAATTTTCAGTAACATGTCAGCATGGGATGTTTTACCACACAAAGTCTCTTTCGTATGACTTTTGAAGTCACACAAATCAATGTTCAGCTGATAGTATATATTGCTAAGAGGCTGCAAAAATAAAAGTGCTCTCATTTGTGAGAGGAAGCACAGTAACAGGGAGACTGCATTTCTCTTCCTGGTGGGAAGGGCTTCAAAGGATGACCAGCTTGCCACAGCAGTCAGCATGAAGATCCATTAGCTAAAAAACAAATCAAAAACACCTCTCTCCCTCTCGAAAAATAAAGAATAAATTGTGTTCAGTTGCTGTTCTTCTCCAAGTCATTAAAAGAAGAAAAAATGTTCCTATGGTCAGCTGTATCTTTAAAATGACTAAAATCATTGGTCTTCAATAAATCTTGAAGCAAAGTTTGTAATCTGAAAAATTCAGTAGGACTACACAGAATGTAGGAGAATTTGCACTATTATACTTACTGACTTGGACTGTACTGAAGGTTTCATTTTAGGATTTGGGCCCCGCATCTTCCCCATGTTCTTGCGTTTCTGTTAAGATATAAGCAGGGAGTATCAGGGAGTATCAGTAGTAAGAAACTATTTGCCAAAACAGAAAACACTCACATTGCATGTAATAGTAGCACAATTCTCCCCTTCTCCTTCCCTTCTTAGTGCGTGTAGTCCAAAATGCACTCCTAGACAAAAGATCCCGTTCTTGGGGTTGATCATTTTTCTTCACTATGGCTACCAGTATTCACTAGGAATTCTTTCAGCTAGTATTCTGGTAGCTTTGGTGAAAAATTCCAAGACCTCAGAGGAGTTTCAATATGCACATGTGCTGCAGCAATTGGCATGAAGGAGGACATGGATAGAACTTTCTAAGTTCCATGGAAACTGCAAGGCATTAGGGTACTTGTAGTCTCCCTGCTCATTAAGCTCTATGTCAGATGCCTCTCAAAAATCTAACACCCCCCCTAATGATCAAGGCATCTCCCCTGCCAGGTAATGGAAGGGACGAAATGCTTACAAATATGTAGGAAGGACTCCCAGTACCCCAAAGACCCTGTCCAAATCAGTTTGCCCTAGATGATCCAATGGTTCAAAGGATAGATATAAAAATGCTGCAACTGATTCTCCCCATATATTACAACTAGTACACAATTAATTATCTGTTGTACACTTTTAAAATTGCATTTTGTATATTTTAGCCATATAATATGCTTTATAAACTGGTTGTACATTTTTAAAATTGCATTTTGTATACTTTAGCCATATAATATGTTTTATGAGCTGGTCACCCAACCGTAATAAATAAATTCATTCATAACACCCCCATAATGCCTTGCAATTCCCATGGAGCTGATGAATATTATAGTCCACAAGTAACTTGTCCCGGATTTAGGAGTTCAGAGTAATTTCAAAATTGTTATTGCTCTTAAGTTTAAAAAAAGGGGGGAAAGAATAACAGAAATATTCAAAACAGAAGTGCAGCCCATGACCAATCTAATACACACATTTCTGAAAACTTAAATCTTCCCAAATACTAAGAAATAAAGGAGCCAGCTAGAGATACAAAACTGAGCCCTGATGTGTGCAACTGCTTCCTTCCTTTTACTACGTTACAGCCTCTTCCAAGTTACAAAGTTTTCCAGGACCAAATCTCAAAGAAATTTCCTGGCCAGCCCCACAACCCTATCGTTCCCAAATACTTGCATGACACTAACACTGGAGGTATGTTCTTTGTATGCAGCTCTCTCTTGTGGTGACAAACTCTGGAAAAAAAACACAGGTGGGGAGGGGGAAACCAAACATTAAAAATTGAGCTCAAACATTGAGAGTGGGCAAAGACTGAAGTTGTTACCTAGTTCCTTTTTAAGACAATCAAATTTGATCGCTGTTGATTGGACATCCTTAAAAAGTGCTTTAATCCTGTATTGTATTGTATCATATCATGCTGACAAGGATTTATCATGCTTCACAGAGTTCTACACTATAGCCTATTCCCATTTTATAAAGACTGAAAATGAACACAGAATCCTCAGGAGGAGTGGGCACCATTATTTCTACAGAACTTTGGTTGCAAACCAGTATATCAATACAGCATCTAGAGGAGAGATAGAGAGTGCACGGCCTTCCAGATGTGTTCAGATTCCAGCTCCCATCAGCTCTAGTCACCACAGCCAATGGTGAAAGGTAAAAGGGTTGTCACCTGACATACAGGTTCCTTACCACTGATTTCAGCATAGTAAATAAGGAGCTGCTACGCTTCCTTCTTTTCCCCAATTTACAGCTTACCTTCAGCCACATATCCAGGTGCACTTTGTACTGTTTCTGCTGTTCTTCAGCCAACTTCTTATACTGTTCTTTTTGGCTCTGGGAGATGCGCTGCCAGCGGCTCCCAATCTCTACCATCCGCTCTTTCAGAGGAAGGTGATTGAGTTCGCCATTTGAAAGAAGCTCCTGAGAAAACTTCTGATATCCATTCCTAGTAAGGGGGACATAAGGCAGCAGAACAGAATATACGAGTCAATGGAGAGAGAAAGAGAAACATAATTAACACGGAAGCACATGATGTTCTTTCTCAGGTTCCAGACTTCCCATCACTTGACTCAATCCACACCAAAGTCCATTCAAATCTGATTTTCTCAGCAGTTCTAATGGATTATATTGGAATAAATAATATTTCTTCTATCGAAGACCACATTCCCTTGTTAACAAAACAGACCTCATAATCAGCAGCTAGAAACACTGTGGCTGTTCGCGGTAAGATTTATTCCCAGATAAACAGCACCAGCTCATAAACTGCTTTCAATAACAGCAGTCCCTATATGGTGTGTGTGTGTGTGTGTGTGTGTGTGTACCTATCTACATACAGTATGTATGTATGTATGTATGTATGTATGTATGTATGTATGTATGTATGTATGTATGTATGTGTGTGTGTGTGTACACAAGGATTTCCTTTATATATTGTGTATCATACAATCACTAGCCATCTACTGCAAAAGTCTGGAGTTCTGACTTAAGAGAGTGAATTAAACTAAGGAGGATTCACAAGATCAGAGAAATTCAGATACTTTGAGGATAGTGAAAGCTGCTAAAAAGAAAAACATGCTATTAAGATGTAGTCTCTTCAGGATATAACATTGTCATGAAGAATTTGTATTTTTTTCAGTTGTGGCTCTAGCACTTGAATGGCCTCCCCAAATGAGTCCCATTTGTCTTATTTTCCTTTTTTTCTATTTCAATTTTAGGTCTAAGAATTAAAAAGAATTGTAAAAAGTTTTTACCAATACTTACATTGGGGGTTTCTTCGGCTCACCCTGGAATTTCATCTTCTTGGAAGCATTTGTTGAGCCTGGTGGTGCCCTCATCTCACTTAGTTCTCGCTACAAGAAAAAGAGAAAGAATTACACACACTGACGCCTAATTAAATGGGAGACAAACAGAAAACTATGAAAGGTTGTTGCTTTTCCTACAAATATCTGAGCATTCCTGGCGAAACAGCAATAATTGCTAGACAGTAAATAAATAATTTGCTTTAGAATTCAATATTGAAATAGTCAATGCACAGCACTGAAAGAAAAAAGAGGTTACTTACCTATAACCATAGTTCTTTGAGTGGTCTTCTGTGAATTCACACATATGGGTATTGTGTGCGCCTGCGCTGACTCTCTCGGAAGATTCTAGAGCTAAAAGTAACAATTTTATGGTGTGATCCTCCACGAGGTATATGCTCCTCCCACCCACCATCTTCCCCAGTTCCTGAATTTTATCCGCCGGGTATGAAGGAAAGAATTAACTAATTACATAATTAACCCATGACAGATAGAGGGGAAGGATGGGCGGGTTGTGTGAATTCACAGAGGACCACTCAAAGAACTATGGTTACAGGTAAGTAACCTCTTTTTCTTTTTTGTGGCCTCTGTGAATGCACACATATGGGTGACTAGCAAGCTGCACTTACCGGTTGGTGGGTTGTCACGGTAAGAAGATGACAGGACAGCTCTGCCAAATGCACCATCTTGGCATGCTCTGATGTCCAGCTGGTAGTGTTTGACAAACGTGGACGGTGTGGACCATGTAGCAGCACAACAGATGTCAGGAACCTTGGTGCCACGTTGAAAGGCAGTAGAGGTGGACAGTGCCCTGGTTGAATGAGCTGTCAAATGTTCTGGAGGGGATTTTCCCGACATGTTGTAAGCCAGGGAAATAGTCTGTACAATCCAGCGTGCTATGGACTGAGAGGAGGCCGGGGCCCCTTTGTTTGGGCCGTGAAAGCAAAGAAAAAGTTTATTGGATTTTCTGAAAGTTTTTGTCCTTTCGACATAGAAGGCCAGGGCACGTCTGACATCAAGGTTATGGAGTATATGTTCCAGGGACGAGGAAGGAGATTTGAAAAAGCACGGCAGTATGATGGGTTGGTTGAGGTGGAAGTCGGAGACCACCTTCGGGAGGAGGGAAACATCAAAGTAAAGAGTCACTTTATCGGGGTGAAACTGGATAAAGGGAGGATCAGCTCGGAGAGCTGCGAGCTCGCTAGCTCTTTTGGCTGACATGATTGCAACGAGGAAGGCTGATTTAAGGGTTAGGAATTTGAGGTCGATAGACGCCATGGGCTCGAATGGAGGCTGCATCAAGGCATTAAGAACCAGCTGCAGTGACCACTGGGGGGTGATACGTTGTTGAGGAGGGCGAATGTTGTTGAGCCCTTTGAGGAATTTCTTGACAGTTGGGTGAGAGAACAACTTGGAGGAAGGGAAGTCGTCCGGTTGATGAGCCATGATGGCTGATAGGTAGACTTTCAGCATGGACTGGGAGAGACCGAAATTGAAGAGATGAAGGAGGTAAGTGAGTAGTGTCTTTAAATAGACAGGTACAGCAGGTAAGTCATTGTCCTGAGTATATTTTAGAAAGGACTTCCATTTGTTCTCATATAGGAGAGTAGTGGAAGGTTTGCGAGCCCGAAGGAGAACGTTCATGACGTCGGGAGTATCCTCCAAGCTGCAAGACTGAGAGGCGACGTTGGGGTGAAGGACGAAGCCGTGGTCGAGCGAGAGGAGATCTGGGC